CACAATATTTTCTACTGATTTCAAGCCGCCATCTTTATTTTCACTGATCGTATGATTTTAACCAGAATTCCTTTCTATCTACTAAAATCGGGACCAATATTGTATATAAGCCATATACAGTTCCATTTAGGTAATCACTAGCTACTAAATGGCAGGATATAAACGATCGAGTGTATAGAAAAACGTAAACACGTTAATGATTGAACTTTAGTGGGCTTTGTACAATACCTGAACATCATCCCATTAATGCCTGACTTCAAATATGAAAAGTAAAGTTAATGCCATTTTCATCTCGGTTTTCATCATAATAATATGATACTCACCTCTCGTTTAGGTGATCGGTTCCATTTACCATTTATAATAGCTTGCGCTATAATTTGTCGAAACATTTTGCATAATTATCTTCTTATTTCCACAGATATGTTTTGAAATGTTTATATGAGCTGAAATGTGAAAGAATATAATGGAAAATATCTACATCGGAAAACTATTATCTGAAAGAGAAAGGAGATGAATTTGAAGGAATATACTTGAAAAAACATTATTTGAAAGTCAACAGAGCTGTAGAAATTAGAAGACTGCAATTTCATTAAAATTTGAAAAACAAAATCACACAAATTCATTAATTTATAATTAATGCCAATAAACTATTTAGCACACGGTCAACCATAATATACAATACATAAATATAGCTCAGAAAATGTTGATTTCAATGCCCCCTATGTTGAACACTCACATACCTCATATACAGTCCAAGTAAACCTACCTGTTACGCGTAAATCTTATAAATATCTGTACAGTTTTAAGACGTGATTATTTATACCATGGTTTTATATAATCTATGATCTTTATGGTTTATCATTTGATTCTACAATAACTATCTGCTTTACTCAGGTATTGATCTACATTATCGTACCATTACAGTGAAATTAACAATTTCAGTCGACATGAAATAGACAGCAGCTAGTTGACACGTCTACATTATCGCATTGTTAAAGTGAAATTGACAATTTCGGTCGACATGAAATAGACAGCAGCTAGTTGACATTATTTACATTATCGCATTGTTAAAGTGAAATTAACAATTTCGGTCGACATGAAATAAACAGCAGCCAGTTGACACATCTGTATTGTCGCCTCATTAAAGTGAAATTTGAAATTAGCAACTTCGGTCTACATGAAATAGACAGCAGCTAGTTGACACATCTACATTATCGCACCATTAAAGTGGAACTAGCGTTTTCACTCAACATGAAATGGATAGTAGTTGACACACGATCGCACCATTAAAGTGAAATTAATAATTACACTCGACATGCATGAGACATAAGTTGACACATTATGAACAAAGATTCATTCTGTGAAATGTCAAAAATGATCCGTGGAATGGCATCACATTTCGATAATAAAGCATAATCGTTCGGTAGCCCTGTATAAACATGCATAATATATTTCTTGGCAGCTACTGGACGTTTATTAGTATATTTATTAATATATATGAAATTAGGCATTACAATTAATATTTTAATTCGTAGTTAGATTATCTTTAAAGCTCGGCATAGGTACATACCCCTCGCAGTGTTTCGTTTGATTAGAGCTAATCCCACTTAACACTGCTGTAAAGCAAGCAAATTTCTGTTCCAAATTATGACTAGTCAACAGTCTGATTAACAACCAATAGCTAACTGCGTAACAATATCATTACGCTTTAAACAGAGCTCCAAATTGGACCAAATATATTTACATAACGTTACGTCATGACTCACGATTTTATTATGCCCAATTTAACAGTGCATAGGAGAATATTGCAGAAAAACTAATTGCGTGACAAACGAGGCTATCAACACGGATACAATGTAAACAATACTGTTTGGAGACGAGCAATACTTTCACCGTTTTTAATACCTTAAATCACTGTCCAAAGTTTTAGGGAAGACCTCAGATTAAACGAACGGCTGTCATGTTGCAGTACTTGGGATAGATTTGATTGAACGGAAAGAATAGACACACTCCCTCCAAAAGCTCAAGTATCAGAAGCCAGTCCAGCAATGGCCAGAGAGGGATTTCTCGGGTCATTGCTTCAGGAATATGGCACAGGTAGAGCGTACGGCGAATATTGTGAGGTCACATGGACGCAGCTTTAAATCTACTTTGCAACGTGTACGTCAGATGCCTCATCTTTAGCGTCACTATTTCGCCCCCTCATGATTTATACCAAATATCATTTTTCTTGTAATCGGCTTCGGCTACATATACTCTTCAAAAACGTAGGGGATATTCAGAAACAATAAAAAAACTGCTAAAATGCACTGCTGATTTTATTAGAGGTAACCAGTGTATGCTAATAACAATCCAATTGCCTACACATGAACATAAACAGTTCATATGAGCGGCTTATCTGACGGCCCCATTTCACTCGCAAAGAGATACACTGTTAAAAGTGAAAATGGACGTTTTTGATTTTTGTCTTAATAATGAGAAATTGCTCCACCAATCCTCAGACATTCAGCAATTCGTCGTGGCATGCTCCTAATCAACCGTCCAATCACGATTTGTGGGCAATCTGACCAACTCCTCTTGCCGTGCCACGGCCAATTCTTGCATTGTTGTCGGTTGACGTTGCCTTCGACGAACACGTCTCCTGATCAAATTAAACGTAACACACTAAAGCAAAGATACGCTAAACAGTAAATCTTATGCAAGAACCGATAGGAAAGCAAACATGGATAGGATAAACCAGCAAACAGCAGTTTTCATCAACCCTTCCTTGAAGTGTCAAATTTGACAATGCCCCCCCCCCACACGTGTATGGCGCTATTGCGTGTCGCTTTGTGCAGCTCAAGGGTTCTGTTGGGGCGATAAGTTCTCCATCTGTGAAAATACTCTCAACGCATGACAAGTGTCCATGACTATTTATGATATCACAATCTGCATAGGTATTTGCATTTCAATATCCCCTACTTTTTTTGAAGAGTATATTTTAAAAATCGGTGGACTAGACTAGCTACATTAGATAATTCCACATTTCGTTGCAAGAGAGAAATGAGGTGATATGAAGTTTAACTTCCCGCTTTCTGCACCGACCGGGATAATGACTACGGGCATGCGCTGTACAATGTGCTATGAGGGAACTTTTATCCTGACAGCAGCGCTGTATTTCGAGATAAAACTGTGCACGCCTATGTGTACACGGAATCTGTGTTTTTGACCCACCCAACTACTAGACACTCTCCTTGTTAGACTCTCCGTCATGTACCACTGACAAGGAAGAATCACGAAATGTTTTCGGTCAACACCGGGGGTGAGACCAAGAACTCCTGGATAACAAGCCATGCAGTTTTTTACTCACTGAGCCACCATGACTCCCTTCGTTGCAAGAGTGAGAACACCTATTTAATGGATGTATCATAATCACTGATTATAACATAGTACCATGATGTATTAATCAACATACAGTTCCATTTAGGTAATGACTGAAGCTACTAATGGCAAGGGCGTGTATAGAAACACATAGAAAAATGTAAACACATTAATGATTGAACTTTAATGGGCTTTGTACAATACATATTTTATACTGAACAGCACCACATTAATGCCTGACTTTCCAAACATGAAAAGCACAGTTAATGCCATTTTCACCTCGGTATGTCCATTATCACGTATTGGGGGTGGAGATAATTAATTCTGCAATGAATGTTTGCACCGAGAGATATAATAATCCAAGTCGATTCGCAACTGATTTTTATTTTATTTTATTTTTTGTGGCTTCTGTGTAATTCAATATTTCTCCTGTAGGTGATAATGTTGGGCATTCCTAGCACCACCTGTCACTGGTGGTGTAAAAAGTGTCAAATTCGAAGGACATGGGTAGTGTCCATATTTAAGTTTAAGATCTACTTAAGACCAGAAAACCCCAGGATCAATTGATTTATTTTGTTAGTTCGCTTTAGCTAACCCTTTTGTTTGACCAGTTTGTTGAATCCACTTCAGTATAAAATATCTGATTCATAATTCGTGTTGATTTCTAACAACCTTTTCATCCCTTAAGTTCTTATTGAACAACACAGTATAGAGAGGAATAAACAACAGAACCACAGGAGACACTATCACATGATATACACTCAAGGGACAGATGACGCGGTAAACTGGTAAATTTCTTATGGAAATGGGGTTCTTGTGATCTGGTGTACCAAAATTGTCAGCCCCCTTTAAAAGTTTTTATCAGAGGTGTTGTTGGACTCTATGTGATCTGAAGTCAATGGGGGGTAATAACGCATGTCAGACGTTTTACAAAATGTTCTTTGGACGGAACGCTTTCCACCACAGACTTAGAAACAACTGATCATGGCTTTTTGCTCCACTGTATGTTGACGACTGTAAAAATGTAAGATAATGCTGGCTCTATTTCAATGCTACGATAATAAAAGAAGTCTCGATTTTCCATTTTCGCGTTAACCGATTAAATAGTGTATGTTTTTTTTAATCCAATTAATATCGCAGCCACTCGGTGGCCTTGGTAGTTGATTAAAGGCTTGTCTATGCATAAATGTCCAAATAATAATTCATATAACATTTGAAGCTAGAAAAAATCCTGCAATAGGAAGACCTAGCTCTTACATAATGCATCTTTAATAGAAATAGATATTGGGTTATGCATGACTATGTCATCCATATGATTGAACTCTGCTCCATCTCAATATATACGCCATAGTTTTGCTAAGATGACCATATTTCTGATGCAATACAGATAAGTTTCGTTATCACGGGTTTGGTAATCTCGAATATCTGACCTCTGTCTAGCTCTTTTAAATCGATATGATTGACTGCCTTTGTTTATATCCATCTCGGGGAATCGGAGAATATGGCTTATATCGAGCAAATAAATTATCCATAATAATGAAAATGCGACATACTGATATTTTATATCAGGAATGGTTTTTAGTATTCCTCGAGGCAGGCATAGTTCATCAATTGATTAAAAGATCAAGTCCAACTCCAACCACATTATGATATAAATTTATTTAACAATCGACGTAATTGTCTGTAATTCAAATGAATCGAAAGCAAATAAAAAAATTGAAAATAAAACAAATATAAATTATATGAGATACATAACAAGAGAAAGTCTTTTTAAAAACCTATGCAAAATATGTTATGTTAACCTATGTTAAGATATTAGCATGGACATGAACATAACATTCTTATAAGTTAGTATCAAATAGATCAACTATAAGGAACTTACAATCTCTAAATATTAACCGAAAATATTCTAAAATATATTGGAGAGAAATTGTCTTTAAAGCAATCACAAATCAATATGTGTTTACATTAAAGGATAATTTAAACAATGAAAGATCCCAAATCTATTTTTTAAAAGATGATATAATTCAACGGCCAATCCGATTCGATAAGCTTACATTTCATCTACTTCCCTCGAATTACATGATTTGCCTCGAATTTATCACGATTTACCTCGAATTACATCATGATTTGCCTCGAATGACATCATGATTTGCCCCGAATTACATCATTATTAACCTAGAAGTACATGCTTTGCCTAAAATTACATGATATAGATAAAATAGTAAGATGTGTAATATTGTTCAGCATTTGACTAGAGCGACAAGATTCTACATTGTTGATTCTACATCATTTGATTCTTGTTGATTCTACATCATTTGATTCTTTTGTACGTTTTGGTCAGTATTTTAAGAATTAGAATATATAAAGAATTAGATCAGACAATATAATACTCAGGTCAGTAGCTAGCGGGGAGGGGGGGGGGCAAAATCGGCGCACCTGACAGTGCCTTTGCCCATTGGGGAGGTTCCCCCCAATTGGCGCCTTTACTGCCATTTCCATTGGACGCAATATGAAGCCAACGACCAACGTGCCCCTCTTCCTCCCCCATCCCAACTAGCTAAGGGCCTGATACTGGGTCGATTTTGATTTGACTAGAATAGCTTGCTTATAAGTAATTTGACTAGAATGGTAAGAAAAATTGTAGTTTGACTTCCATGGTAAAAATGTACATGATTTGTATTACATATAGCTTATAGTAATCTTTGAACATTTTGGTACTTTTACTTGCCTTGTAAGCTATACGTAATTTGGCATGATTTGATCATCCACGACTGTATACATGTAGTCTACGAGAAAGCATGACCCGAAATCAACTCGAATTGGTATTACTGGTAATAACTATGCTATTTGATATTACTATAATTATTATTATATTATGTGGTATTACTATAGGAAAGATTACATTATCTGATATTGCTAGGAAAGATGATGTCGTTTGGTATTACTAGGAAATATTATATTACCTGGTATTACTGGGATAGATGATATTATCTGATATTACTTGGAAAGATAATATCTGATATTACCAAAACAAATTGTATTATTTGACATTAATATCTGATAATACTGGGAAGGGTGATATTATCTGATATGACTAGGAAATATAATATCTGATATTACCAATAACAAACATATTATTTGACAGTGATATCTGATAATAATGTAAAAGATGAGATTCAGTTGTTCACCATGGGTGAATATAGGCCAGAGAACAATAGTGTAAACATCATTTGATTATAAAAGCCAATTGATAATGAATAAATTGTCGGACATTGTAATCAAGAATGCATTCACATAATAACAATGAATTAAAGAAATAGAGAAATCAAAACAAAGATTAATGAATAAACTTAATAATAAAAATAATCGAAATTAAAATACTTAAGAATAATTTTGGTATATAAGCGAAATACATTGAATATTTCCACATTATATCCAATCATGAAAACATATGATACTATAATAATCATACTTTTTAAAGGTAAACTGATAAAACTATATGCTTTGAAACCAGGCTTGTATTCATGAAGATTAATAAACAACGATTCGTTCAGATTAATATCCGTATTTCAAAACATGTCATTTGACTCCTGTTAAACCCCAGAATCAAATCACCATTAATAATTACACCCTACACAACTCCTTATTGATTCCCGTTTCCTTTGGTGACATTTGGATCATTTGTTCTTTTTAAGACTCAGCACTATTTGATCTCTTAGAGGCTCTATAACTACCAACATAATAACATGGCTGAAACTATTTAGGGCTCTGTTAAAACAAACGGTGGTAGTATCCTAGCTGCTTTTAATTAAGGTTGTAAAAACTGCGCAATATTTCTGTTAATAGTTATCGGTAACATTATTTAAAAATATTTTAACTATCACATCGGGCATCATTTACAACAATCCAGTCTTTTATTATAAACAATAAAAACATAACTTGCATACTAACAATGGCGAAACAAAAAATATTGTAGGCACTTCCTGTGTATCTCATCAATGGTTGTTATGGTAACGTTTATTGTAGCTATAAATTAATATCAATGCTTCCAGTGTCGATGATTTCTGAAACCTCGGGTTCCGCAATCGGACAACCCGGGGTTGTATTTTCTTTGGTTGTTTGACCCTGGAGTTTTGATTCTTCAGGAACAGTATGCAATCGGCCATTACTTGATCGTTTACGGACTAAAGATCTAGCCAAAATGTCTTCTGTATTTACAATGGGGTCTGAAAACACATTTTTGGAGTCTGATGGATTTTCTATCACTTTATTGTCTTCCAATTTACCCACGGTTTTCAATAAGCGCCTTAATATTAAGTCTTGTTGTTGGGCCATTATTTCGAGCCGATCACTTAATTTCTCTAATCTATCCGATTGTCTTTTCTCCTCGGCTTGTCGGACAGAAATATGATTCAACATCTCGTACCGGAAACTTGAGATATCTTGCTTAATTTCATCAAAATCACCTGAAAATAGTCAAAATATTTATCATAAAACAATTAGCACAGAATTAAAGAAAAATAAATAAATTTGGTAGCCATGGCCCCTAAAACACCAGTCTGCTTCTGTGAAAGCAGTGTTTTTAATTTTTGTTAAGAAATCATGCTTAGGTGGTGTTGGATTGTGTTGAGTACATCATTAACTCCCTAGGGTTAGTGTAGTGAGAACTTCAGGGTATTAAACCAGAACTGGAAATTAACTGCCTAGATTAGTGTAGTGATACCTTTAGCGTATTAGACCAGAACTGGAAATTAACTCCCTAGGTTAGTGTAGTAAGAACTCCAGCGTATTCAACCAGAACAGGAAATTGATATCTAGATAAGTGTAGTAAAAACTCCAGCATATTAAACCAAAACTGGAAATTAACTCCCTGGGCTAATGTAGTAAGAACTCCAGCGTATTAAACCAGAACTGGAAATTAACTCCCTAGGTTAGTGTAGTGAGAACTCCAACGTATTAAACCAGAAATGGAAATTAACTCGCTGGAATAAGTAATGAGAACTCTAGCGTATTAAACTAGAACTTGAAATTACCCACCTTCCGGCCCTTCTGCCTCCCTTTGCATATCAAATATATATCTCTTAACTATCCGCTTCATTACCCTCTGTATGAAAGATAAAATGTAAATAATCAGTTTAAAAGAATAGAAACACGTATATTACTCATAATTTACGCCATACGCCAATCTCTCATAATCAGCGCTTTAGACCATCAGATTGTCATGATATTGAATAAATTAAGCGAGAGAGGGAGAGAGAAATGGGGTTTAACGTCCACTCGACACAAACTAGGTCATTTCGGGACTAACATATGGTTTTAATTTTATTTCAATAATTCGCTGGTGCGTAGGGGTCTTTAGCATTGAGAGGAAACCGGAGGACCCAGAGAAAACCCACGAGGTTGGACAGGCGACCCTACTCCTTGTCACGTACAACCGGGGAATCGAAACCACACCAGTTGACTCAATGACAGACCTGCTAACCATTCCGCCATCCAACCCCCAACACCTTTAAGCATCTTGGATGACAATTAAAACCGAAATAAATAAGTACCCCTTGCCGCATGCGCTACCAATTCTATAATAGATATTTATATAAAGCCTTAGCTGGAATTGCAGAATCCCCGAAAATATAGGGTATAGACAGCAATCTCAGGCAAAAATCATCAATCATAAAAAAGGTCATGCAGTTCACACAAAGGAGGGAGTAAACACGCACTGTTTAAATCAAACAGAAATTACCTTATATGTTAATTTTTCACAGAATATATTAGGATCCGAATCATTTCTAACAAACCCATTTGTATTTGTCATTCGATCCCGGAAGTGCCGGATACCTGGATTATGGGAACTGACGCCATCATCCCAACCAGCAGATGGTGCAGGATCCTAGTGTAAAATGAAATAAAGTGCACGATATTTAAACATACAATCCGTGGGAAAAGAAGCAATACAAATGGGTGACCGCTCAATGAATTATGTGTGATTATTTGATCGATTCCGGCAACTCAAATAGCGACTCAAGTTCACCCCCTAAGTTATGGGCGTGAGTTTTAATTTCTAAGTTTAATTTGATTCTTATAGAAACATGACCTGTGCATGCCATTAGCAAATGCATTAAAACAAGCTTATGACAAATCAAAACCTCAAAAATAAAAATAGCTGTTATAAAACTGTCGATCCAAAACTGTAAAATGCACCACAATGCCAAAGAAGTTTAGAAGTTATGGATATTTTATGACTTACCACTGAATTTCCAGCAGGAAACATTTCTATATCTTTTATTCTACCTGGATGACTGGCAATTGGAGGATCATCATGTTTCCAACACATATTAAAAAAGAAACGGAAAAGATAGTATATGGATTTAGGTGTAGGAAATATATTGAAAGGTACAGGTAGAGTACATTCGCCTTTAATATATTCCATATACATTTTACTTCTTGCAAATTTCCATTCTGTGTCAGCCATTTCCTGAAAAGAGATAGAGTTTCAAATATCAAACAGATCGAATGGAAATAATGAAATAAATAACTTCTGCCGGAATATACTTCTTGCGAGATTCGGAATTGTTACTGTGTTCGATTATACAGCAATCTGATTAATATACAGATCTATATTTCGCTTCGTTTTTTTTTATACGTTCGATGTCCTCCGCCACATTGAAATCTGACCGGCTTTTGTGGGACAATTAAAACAAAACTTTGAACTATAAAACTACGAAACGAAATAGGATCTGTGTCTTAATATAATGCAGTATCTGAAACACTGGTAAGATTCTAAACGAGATTCACACCGACATGAATAGATTGATTGAATCACCACTAAGTCATGTATTTACTGAACCCCAAATATTAAGCTACGAACAGCCGTCTTTTATGGACGGAATAATTATATAGATTTAAGATCAGTTGTTTACTGGATTTACAAAGACGAATGAACTAAATTTTAGTGGGCCAATAGACAATTTTGTTTGATCTATAGTTGGAACGACAAAAAGGTAGTTGCGATATATTTGACGCCAGCTCTGGAAAAATAAGGAATGGGGTTTAACATCCGCTCACTTTAAAATAATTCGCTTGTCCACAAGGGTTTTTACTTTAGGAGGAAACCGTTGGACCCGCGAAAACCCACAAGGTTAAGTGGGTGACCCTATTCCTGTCACACACTCAATGACAGACCTTATGATCTAAAGTGGACACGTTAAACACGTTAAAAATCGAAACACTAACTTAAATTATTTGTATTAATCTGCTAGTTAAGGCAAAATGATTTTTTATTTCGGCTTTGTTACATTATGGTATTACTATGACAAGAATGAGGTGATCGACGAGAGTTCTGGAGAACATGTTCAGGGAGCGTTCGACAAAACAGATCAACAACAATGTGAAATTCCCAAATGAGAAAACATTAATGTAATAAATCTAGTTACCTGTATAATTTCAAATGATCTAGTCATCATAGCAATCAACATATTCAGTAAAACGATAACAATGGCCACATTATAAGCTCCATATAACCAATAGCCGACATTCTGAGTAAAATGATTATTAAATTCACCAAGTTCTACAGCAGTTGGCTCCCCTCGACCCAACATTGACCAGAACACCGTTCGGAATGTTATATCTGGTCTGGAAAATAAACAGTTTGTCTCGTCAAAACAGATCTATATATCGGTGGTTAAAGAATAAACAACAATTGCAAAATTCGAAGATTCATGAAAAGCATTATCTCGGGACCGAGACCGTCGTGACAATATTATAGACCTCCGGGCAAACGCGCGCACTGGGACCCCTACCTACACAACCACCCATTGGGAGATAAGTGGGTTTAATGTCCACTCGACACAAACTATGCCATTTCGGGACTAACTTTATTTCAATAATTCGCTTGTGCATAGTGGTCTTTAGCAGTGGGAGGAAACCGGAGGACCCAGAGAACACCCTCGAGGTTGGACAGGTGACCATACTCCTTATCACGTACAAGCGGGGAATCTAAACCACGCCACTTGGCTCAATGGCAGACCTTCTGATTCAACGAGCACTCGCTATACTTCTGCTCTGACTGGGCAAATGAAGACGGCATGGTGTGTTGTGAGGGAAATTTGGCACCAATGTGTACTCGGAACAATAAATGTGATCAAAATACCGATCTTTACTTCGGTGCAGGTTACTTCGCCTCTGCCACACGTGTCAGGTTCCAGGTGTGTTATAAGTATTCAGTAGGAACGGAGTTGGCTATGCCGAGTACAGCTGCATTTGTAAAAGTTTATTCCAAGCTGCCGGGCATGGTACTATGAGAATTATGCATATTGTACATATTCTACTTATGGAAATTATGCTTTTAATCTACACTTACATGCCAAAATTTTCTTCTGCTACTGTAGTGATATTATTGGGTATCAACTCAACTTCTTTTCGGACGTTTTTAGGGTAGTACCAATAGAGATTGTGTAAACCCACCATAAAGGCGATAAATAAAACCAAAAATACCACGAAAAACTTCATAATATCCTGTAAAACATCGAAATCAAACATTGTTACAAATAAAGCACCCTAATAATTTTAAATTCTGAAACAAGAGTTATCTACCTTTTTCAGACATCACTCTAGCTTCTTGTACATATCAAACCGTGCCAATAACAATGACAATGCCAATAAGTATGACCGTAACTAGGCTTTGGGTAGCATAGTTCAGAATGGAAATGTACGCGTAGCTGTTGAAGATGTAAGATACATATGTCGACAACGCATAGTATTAACATTAGTTGGTACTTTGAATTCTTGAGTCATATTAAAATTAGACCATACTTTCTTTTAATTTTGCAGCGTTATGTTGCAATCAGACACCAAAGAGAACAGGTGGCCGATAAAGAAGAAGTTTGATAGCATGTAGAGTTGCACAGTAAGTTATTTGACACCGCCTTTTCCTATGTACGGGGAGAGAGAGAGAGAGAGAGAGAGAGAGAGAGAGAGAGAGAGAGACTCAATTCGGGATTTCAGAGAAAAAGTTCCACTCGACACAAACTAGGTCATTTCGGGACTAACACGTGGTTCAATTCTATTTCAATAATTCGCTTGCGCGTAGAGGTAGGTCTTTAATAGTGGGAGGAAACCGGAGGACCCGGAGAAAAAACACAAGGTTGTCAAGTACAACCGGGGAATCGATACCCCGCCAGTTGACTTAATGACAGATCTTATGACACAGCACGCACGTGCTAACCATTCGACCACCCAAACCCCAGTATGGGGAGTAAGGAGGGGGTATATAATATTCTCATTTCATTGACTCAAAATATTGGTGGTGACATTATCAATAGATTGACACTTACAGTGATCATTCTAGCTAAAGAAATCTGCATAGGTCCAAACAGTTCATTGGCTGGTAATAGATAGGACACACGTGTAAAACTTATCACATTGGCTACAGCAAACGCTGCCTCGGCTACATTATACGGGTCCCAACTATCCCAATAAAATCGATCTGAAAATATAACAATATCAATATTTACATGTTTGGCACACTCCTTGCAGTGTTTCATTTGATTGTATCTAATCTCACTTAACACTGCTGTAAAGGAAGCAAATTTATGCTCCAAATTATGACTGGGCAATAGTCTGATTAACAACCAATAGCTAACTGCGTAACAATACCATTACGCTTTAAACAGAGCTCCAAATATGTTTACAAAACGTTACGTCATGACTAACGATTTTATTATGCCCAATTAACCAGTGCATAGCAGAATATTGCAGAAAGACTAATTGCGTGACAAACGAGGCTATCATATAAATACAATTTGGAGACGAACAATACTTTCACCGTTTTTAATACCTTAATAAATCACTGTCCAAAGTTTTAGGGATGACCCCAGATTAAACGAAGGGCTGTCATGTTGCTTCACTTGGGATAGATTTGATTGAACGGGAAGAATAGACACACTCCCTCAAAAGCTCAAGTATCAGAAGCCAATCCAGCAATGGCCAGAGAGAGATTTCTCGGGCCATGGCTTCAGGAATATAAATGTTTGTATGATGCAAGAATTTTTGATTGTAATGTAGTTAATTTATACACAGTGTGAAACTCAACTTCATTCGCCAAGTCAACAAATCTAAGTTAAAGCAAAATTATCGGTTATTGGTTAATAGAACCCAATAATAAGATACCCTAAACACATATTTTATCATTTCTAATAACTATACTGACCTGCTACTAGCCAGTAAAGTTGTAATTTTGCTTCTAAAGAACCATTACCCAATGCATGCCACGAACTCTCCGATTTAAAATAAGATAGGGATGCTTTGACCTACAGAAAATGGACAACAAAACATGAAATATATTTTTTATGACACACCCCACTTGACAAAACCACGCTAGAAAATTCGGAGGAACTTTCTCGGCCATCGCCTGGATCGAACCTCAAACCTCCTGGTAAATGAGACGGCACCTATCTCATTGTGTCACACTGGCTCTACGGTCTACTCTTATATTGTCAAGGGATCTTTTAAGTGTACGTAAATCTGTATACGGACACTCGGTTCTTCGTCCCATCCAAATGACTATACGTTGTCCCTTGCCAGGCCCTGCGACCTGCACCACTGACCAGGGAGAACCACACCCGAGAGTCCCGATGAACTTTCTAGGCCAACGCAGGAATCGCACACAGAACCTTCAGGTTGGCGAGCCAACAAACAAACGACAAACACATATATTATGTGAAGAGCGCCGTGGAGCAGCTGTTAGCTGGAGCACTCATCGCTATACAAATTGATTACTATTGTTATTATTAATAAATGAAGAAACAAACCTTCATTATGCTGACGTATCTTAATGAAAACGACATGATATAAACCGTTAATACAGCCGTATCTAAATAATTATACAGAGAATCAAAATAATTAAACAATCCACTGCTATATAACTGCTTCACTTCTTGCCATAACATACCTAAAAAATATACATGAACAAAAAACATTATATTTATCATTCAGTGCATTCTACAGAAGCATGAAAAAAATAGCACCATCGGCAGTATTAGAGAAAGTCTATCGATGAGATATGCTCTATAGCGGTTTTCAGGGAGTTCGACCGATATTTGTGCACAATTCCTTACTATTAGGATGTCTGATATTCTATACTGAAATAAATCATATCAATCTCCTTTTAAAATGGCAATCGGAAAAGTCGTATATGTTGTGCAGGAGGCAGGGTATGATTTGTCTTATCAAACAGATAACTAACAGATATGTTTGTACTGTGCATTTGTATGCTTATGACTACATGTGACTTTGTGGGTAGAGTAAACTGAAAAGTGCAAACGGTTTCGAAATGAAATGAAATGGGGTTTAACGTCCTACTTTCTGCTCCTAACCTGGGTTAATGAAGACGGACATACGCCATACAGTGTGCAATGAGGGAAATTTTGCCCGGGCAGCGGCACTACGGCCTACTCTTATATCGAATTCCAACTGCCAAGGGATCTTTTACGTGCACGCCAATGTGTACACGGGACCTCGGTTTTTCGTCCCAACCGAACGACTAGATAGCTGTCCTTGTCAGGCCCTCCGAACTGCATCACTGACAAGGGGGACAAACGGTTTCGACAGGTCTAAGAGTCATTAACATACTCTTCAATAGGCACACTCCAGTCATTAACAGACTCTTTCCACGGGCACACCCTGGTCTAATGTCTATAAAAATACTCTTACTTATGATTGATCGGAAGTTCTATACGAATACTGGAAGGACCCAATTGAAAAAGAATATTTTACGTCAGAGACTGTCTGGAGTATATTCATGTATGTGAGAAATGTACATTTAATACAAGTTTATATATGTATATATCACGACATGTCTTGATGATAAATCGATTACTGTATCAAAGAAAAACATTTTTAATTGCATTTATTCACAAAAAGTATAGCGCATCAGACATTTTTGTTTTACGTATTTAAGAAAACTTTGACAAGAAAAATAAATTCAAAATGGATTATTTTGTTATCAGCTGTGATCATGTCTGGTTGAGACACAGCACAAAAGATTCCCACTTGGGAATTAGTTTTTTTTCAATAGCTTCAAACGGTCACCTCGTTCTGCCATTTCGGGCAATAAAACGGAGTATTTGAACGTTAAACTTTGACTCCAACAACATTTATCTCTGACAAAATATATTGATGATTCTTATTGAGTGGATGCGTGTAAGTACATGGTGAGCCGCGTGGACTCCTTTATTGATCCGCCTATTAATCTACGGACGTGATGTGCTTCAAACCAACTGATGACTTAAATCCCATTGCTGAACCGTCTTAAACCACGACTAATACACCAGAGTAAGAACGACCCAATCCCTTCAAAAAGTACCAGTCGAGACGATTTAGGACTTCTCACGAAATTTGCTGAAGTGGGAAATTGCTGTTAAAACTGGCTTACATAAGAAGCTATTCCGGGCCTTGATTGAGTTATTCTCGTTTAATATTTCTCGTCCTTGGCTGATTGGCAATAAAACGTTTTATAAATTGCGTCTATAGCTACTGGTGCTGCCAATTGAGAAAGTTTTCTGCAATTAATGTTGTTGTATTTAATACGCATGGCGAGTGTGACTGAATGACCTTTACAATCATGTAGGTATGTCGTTGTCCTATCCTTATTAATGTCATCTGAGCCGTTTCCTAGCATCAATCACTTTTTGCTGTTTTATTGCAGATCTTTAGAAGTTTATGGTTCTTGAATAAAATATATCTTCCTGATAGGATACTTTGAACTTTAGATTAAAAGATGGAGGTGTGGTTTATGCATCGTTTGAATGTTCCATTATGGGTCAAAGTTCATTTTATTTGCAAATATACAGAGATAATTCATGATGGTCATTGTTAAGGTTCCATATCACAATAACACACTTATGCGACTCGATAGGGATAAGGTGAAATATATTTTAAATCTGAATCAATGACATTATAAAAGAATGATTTGTCTGGAGTGTAGACAGAGGCAATTCATTTCCAGCAAATTTGAAATAATTGAAGTCAAAATACATTGTATCCTCCAATGAATGACGTGATAAAACATTATTTATTTCTATATCTAAAATGCCCGAATGATCAATAGATAATTTTAAAATACTGCCACCAAAATTACAAAAAACAGCGTCTTAATAAACAAGACATTCGTGTTGATTTATGAATTCGATATATTTTGACACTAGAGAATAAATTCAACAAAATCGCTAAACTCCTTACTATTGAGGTCATTATTGAAGCATTCTTGGGAGTGAAGTTCGATAAGGAACAATCGTTATCAAATTTTGTTTATCGAAAAGTATAAGGTATTGAAGTATCGCATATCATCGAAATTAACATTAGGCATCGATTTTCGAATTATATTCTGAAACACGAAGAGTATGTACTATTGGAACACAAATTACGCTAGATGCCTGCTGCTAACCTATAGCGTGATGTGGAAATTGAACAAGTGTTAAAGTAACAAATAAGGCTATATTCTTAGCACGCACATGAGCGTAGCATATCATAGCTAAAAGGGGTGTTTGATCTAAAATAAACAACGATCATTGGAGAGAGAGAGAGAGAGAGAGAGAGAGATGGGGTTTAACGTCCACTCGACACAAACTAGGTCATTTCGCGACTAACATATGGTTTAATTTTATTTTAATAATTCGCTTGCGCGTAGGGGTCTTTAGCAGTGGGAGGAAACCGGAGGACCAGGAGAAAACCCACGAGGTTGGACAGGCAACCCTACTCCTTGTCACGTACAACCGGGGATTCGAAACCACGCCAGTTGACTCAATGACAGGCCTTATGATACAGCGCGTACGTGCTAACCATTCGGCCATCCAACCCCCCACGACCATTGGTGTTTTGAAGAATTTGCCTTGTAATAAGAGTACATGTATATATTAAGAAAGGCACAAACTATATTATATAGATGTATTATGTAAGAGATTGCAGGTCTTTTTCTGGTTCCAAATGTTACATATTTTAGACAATTATTCACATGGCAAGTTTATGTATGGATTAGAGCGCCCGCACGATTTTTGTAAAAAAAGAAATAACGATAAAAACGATAATAAACTATCTAAGCTACATCTTTACTTTGCTCTCTTCGCTCAGAATAAAGTTATTTGTATGAAATTCTTTATATATTCATTTATCATTATCTGTTTTTGAACTATTATAGATTTTATCTAAATCTTAAAGTAGCTAAGTCTCTAACTCAATATCATCCAAAATCTTCGACATTGAAAACACGAATTATTTGTCAATTCAAATCAACATTGGTCTTGTGATATTATAGAGAAAAAATGGGCTTCTGATATCCAATATTCAAGACAAAATAAACATGTTACCATTGGTACACGAATCGTGTACCATAATGCGTTTCAGCGCCATTTGGAACAAGGGACTCAAAGAACAGGGCTAGACATATTCCACAGGTCATGATAAATGGTGACGCTATATTCTTATCTGGAGAGCATGCGCAATAAATACCATCGGTGTAGACTGGAAAAAACAGACGCTAAAGAGTGCCATTCACATGAGATTTCTGGCGTATTTCGCCGAACATAGCTGATTAGAAATTACAGTAAAAACAGAAACGATTGAATGTAAATCAGTTTATATACATTCATATTACATTATTATATGCTATGCTACCCATTTTTGTCAATTTCTAGGTCCCAAATATTAGCGATTTAGCTCCTTAAAATAATGCATGTTTAAATATTGAGGTTATCTTATACCCTGAGGTAGTCGAGTTACATTGGGTATCACACACACATGTGTTTGATATTTCCAGTTCCCTAGCTAATCCTAATCATTTCGGACTTACCCATTATCCAAACAGACATCAACAAATGAATTATTTCTGGTTCAAATGTCCGCAAAACAAAGTCTTCCGGCCAAGTTCCAGATGTTGAATTACGCCACACCGAATAATGTCTATGCACAGGTGCAAAAGCTGACAAAACTTTATGTGTTGAAGGTCGTTCTGTCGCCGTGGAAATAAATATCATCACAAGAAATGTAACAAAGGACATGGTTTGTCCAATAAATTTTACACACGGATACCTGAGGAATTTACCGGCCTGAAATTAAAAAAAACCCACACACATTGATAAAAGGTGTTATAAATTGTATAAACAACACACATGAATAAACTTGTTTCTGAATACTATCAAATATTATAAACCTGGGCCCTGTTTCACGAAATTTTTAACTAAAGATAAAATCCAAGTTTTAGTAGATACTTCAATTTTGATTGGCTAAGCACTAAAATCAATATAATATTATCCAATCAAATTACTAAAATTTGGATTTTATCTTAGTTAAAATTTCGTGAAACAGGCCCCAGTAACGGTAAATCTCTTTGATCTTAGGGGTATATTCTATGCCCGGAATAACTTGCGGTCTGAAAGTCGGAGGCGGCTTTGGATATATACAGGGAAATTTGGGGGTTATTCTTCTGAAAGTTTTTCTTTAAACCTGTACCGGGTTATTCTTCCAGGGTATGTTTTTTTTCCATAAGAAAACATGATATAAGGTTTTTCTTACGGGATTTCTGGGATATTCTCATCTTGCGTACATGTAAACATCGACGGTTTATAAGCAAGATAAAGTCCTCGACTTCGGTTATGCTGGGGAAGAAAGACTTCAGAAAAAACCTTCGACAGAAAATCCTTGGCATGCCGGCCTCGGTTTTTCTTTCTCTCGGGTTATTTTCTTCAGTCTTTCTTTCCCCAGCATAACCTCAGTCTCGTGCTTTATCCCACACATAAGCACGGGGCTTAAATGAGTGCTAAATGTTGTCTACTTTAGGACAGATTTGATCATAAATTTTATATATCATGTATTTTTAATGCTTGTTTTGATCGTTGACTATAGATTCAGAAGGCGTGGAATAAGAAGCTTCGAAACGGACTTTGTCCGTGGTGCAGAACAGAGGTAAATCGCAACTAAAAGACTGGACCAAGGTAAAAATAACCCTTGGCAATCAGAATTCGAAAGTAGGTGGAAACTCCGCTTTCCGGGCACTATTTCCTTCATAGCAGCACTCTTGCATGGCATGTGTCATTCTTCTTGTCTATTAAGTCTGATTATGAAACTGATATGGTAAATAATATACCACATTACTACTACTAACCTGTGTTGTGGGTACAACCCAGTACACAATAGCCATAACAGGGTAAAACATCGTTATTAAAAAAACAATTACTGAACGGAAAAACCAGTTGGATCTTTCAAGAGCCCTTAAATCACCATACCAGATACTGACTAATCTCTGTTGACAGCTCGGGTGGGCTACAAACTAGAATATAAATAATATTTATAACCGAAAACTATAAACAACAATTGCCTATGAAGACAACCATTCAGAAAGTATTGCTGAATTAATACTTGCCCCTAAATGTGTTTAAAACAAAATGCTGGATGTCGATGCTGTAATTACGGGTACATTTTTTGGATATATAATGCGAATACTTTTAGATGAAATCGATTCTGTAAAACCGAATTCTCATCGAATTGGTCTGTTAGTCTGCTATGCAATTGGGTGTACTAAAATTTCAACCAAATGCCTGAAATCTCTAATCATTATTCCGGAAAAATGATTTTAAGTCAACTATGTCAAAAATAGGCGGAATGCAATGAAATGCAAACTTAGTTATTTGGCTGCATCATAGCTGTGTACCAACCCTAAAATGTTTTCGGTAAACCCAATATTCATTAAACCTTAAGTCATCAAAGGGTTCACAAAATCCAACAGAACGCGAACCTATTATGAAACACTGCTATATACAGCAGTCTCCGAAAATTAAAACAAAGCCGCTCAGAATGTAATTCAAAACAATCAGAGAAAGTAGATTATTCATTGATGTTTCAAAGTCAATAAAAGAACCATAATTTAGTAAATAATTAACTGTAAGCTTAAATAGATAAAGAGCTGTCCACGCATGCTTTAATAGTTAAAGGGACTATCCCGATTTGAACAGAGTCTTAAAAATAAAAGTCAGAGTACGTATGAAATTTAAGCGCCAAAACACATTGAGTCTTTTGGACGTGAATGTCAAAACTGCTTATCCGGACACGTAACCCTTTTAAGTTTTAGGGTCAATGTTTTTGTTGAGCGACCTGATAATCGATTCCCGTTCCTTTAGAGGTCTATACAGTGAATTACCCATGTGCTGTACTTGATAACGAAAGGTAAATTTCACCTACGCAGTATTTTTATAAAAAAAGTCTGGTTTTATCCAGACACCGTATAATACAGCTTGGGACACCGGTCTCCCTTAGCAGATGAAGACTGACAGGTTTAAATTGTTTGAAAGCGTATCACATTGAGTTAGTTGCTCGGTCCTAAGGTAGAGGATTTCAAGGGATTTTAACACAAAATTAAGCAGTTTTATTCTCCAAAATATTATCGGGATTGACCCTTTAAAATATAGGTAATGGGAATTTAATATATTATGTTGTTACAACGTATGAAAAGAAAGGGAGAGAGTAATAGATATCTGAGGACACTCACTTGCTCGCGCAGAGCATGTTTTATTTCTCCTACATTCTTTGAAATATGAATTTACTGCACTCTAATTCTATTCATGTACAGTATACACCTAAATGAGTTGAACTGTTATTTCAAAGCTTCTGATTTTAACATATTCTCGGTTAATCACTCAGACCTCACGCCAAACTTGACACTGTCTCCACGCCGAAACCCCTCCTGCTACATTTCTATTAATATTTACTAATATACTATCTAATTTAGGTCGTGATCGTCATAAAACTGCCACCAATTAAAACTAACATTTATTAAATGCGTTAAAGGTCGGACAGAGGGACATTATACACCGATCATACTGATTATAATACCGGTCATAAAATTTTTTTTATGAGACTTTAGCCAGCTTTAGACTGGCAAATGGCTATCTCTCGTTATGCAATTAATATTTACGTAATAAGAGGTCTTATTTCGTTATTATTATCTCCTTCTAGGTGGTAACAATATTTGATCGGTCGAATATGAGGTATTTACACTTATTTGAACACACCTGCCTTTCCTCCGATCGACTGATACAGTCACCCTCGCTGTCGTCCGAGATGTAAATTGTTCAAGAGAGAGAGAGAGAGAGGGTAGCGTCCACTCAACACAACCTATGTATATCGCTCAGTGTGCAATACATTTAGTTAATATGAGCGAGAGAGGAAGGGACGAAATGCGGTTTAAAGTTCACTTTACACGGACTATAGATCATTCTGAGACTAGCATATTATGGTACAATTTTGTTTCAACAACCCGCTTGAGCGTAGAGGTCTTTGGAAGCCGGACTAAACCGGACGACCCGGAAAAATCCAAGAAGTTAAACATATTGGACGATATTGTGCACGGGGCAGGGTCTGCCCACTCCATTTAGAACACTTAATACACAGTCAGAATTATCTAATAAATCTTGTTAATTTATCTTTCCAACACAAAGATGCAAAAATGCACGACCGCTTCCATGGTGACACTGAATGTTGATGATACGATTTAATTAATAGTTGGGTGTTGGATCTAACAAAAATGGTTGACATATAATAATGTTTGACTTAATAACATAGATGTTATTCGTGAGATTAATATTGATCATAACAAGTAATACATCATCCTCAACAACAAACAAACATTAAAGGTTATTCTGGCTCTTCCATTATAGATGACAGGCCCAGATTAGTATTTTAATATGATAATGTTTGTTGGTTAGGTTGCGGTGACTACTACCGATATAATCCAATTCTTCTGATTACTAAATGTATGCATGATGAACAGCGCCGGATAAAGTAGGGGTTGAAGGTTTTGAATTAATACTAAAAATTGATTATACATGCTGTATATGTTTGTGCCAAATCGACCTATCTATCTGCCACACTAACATACAAATTGCATCTTGTAGGGGTGATGAAGAATGACCGGAATGCGATCTATTTTACACTGTTGATACCAGGGCGCAACTGACATTTTCTGCCAGATACCCTCATGCAAGCTTAACCCGGCCCCGATAATGATAGTGTAAAACATTTAACCCATCTTATTTAATCTTTACAAAGTTATACGAATTCTACCGAAACTTCCTAAATCAAAAAAAGAAGTATGTTTGATATGTGTGCTGTGAGATGCAAGCTCCAAAGGCTCCAAATTTATTTCAGTTTTCTTAATTTTGACTTTTAACTAAACTGTCGATAACAACTGACATACATAAGGAAGCATATATAAGACAGTATTAACTGTAAAAAATTGAATACATTTAGTTGGTTAGAAAGGTTAACTATAGTTCAGCGTATTGAGACCCAATCTGGGAAGAAAATACAAATCTAAAGAAATGCCCCTAACTCAACTATAAGGTGTCAAACAGCTTCATTTGCACAATTCCGAATAAGTACCAACACATGTAGTATTCGCTCAAATTTTGTTAAAATACGATGTAAGTGCTGTAGTTAGATGCCGTATTTTCGGACCCTTGGGAGGAGTGGGGGCGGCTAGGGTCCCTTACACTAGACTCTGAAACTATACCCAAGGGCGGTCAATATTGTTAAAAACTAAAATTTCAAAGTAGTGACGAATAAATCTTTCACTGGAAGTAGTAGAAAGGTAGAAGAATTCCTATAGCAGTGCGAGTAAGCCTGGATGTCAGTGATACGGCCCGGGTAGAGCTGGAAAAAAATCCTTGTAAATAACCCTAATAATAATACCCATGCAACAAACTTGATAAGACTTTGTGTAATGAAATGGTTTAATTCATGATGCTTTTCGAGGTACCAGTTGACAAAGGGCTTATTGTTAAAACCTTTAGTGTTTCAGCCAGAGGCCTTTTTCATCAACTCAGTTTCCTTCCACTGACACTGAAACCATACCTATGGGTAGTCAATTTCAAATTTTATCCCTAAATTCAAGGGTCTATTTTCATTTAATGTTTCGACATTTTCAGTTTTTGTTCGGGATAGTTCTGACGCAAATATTTTAACCGCAACTCACCTTCTTTTCATTGTATTTTATAGCTTGGTTTAATCTGGACAATGATTCGTATGTTTCAGCTTCACTATCCGTTCCTGTTTTATTGAGAATGAGTTCCAGTTCTTCATGACCTCTGACCTTGTCTAATAATTTCACTACATATTCACTTAACTGAGCCGCTAACTCTAAATACTCATTCTGAAAAAGACGACATTAATTTGCTCAGAATAATAATAATAATAATAATATACGCTTATTTATAAGATATTTTTCAAATGTGTTTGGACTTGCTAAAAGACAGACAGATTGAGTTTAACGTCCACTCGACACAAACTAGGCCATTTTGAGAGAAAGCATTCTAATATTTCGCTTGCACGCGGGGTCTTTGGCAATAGGATATTATATACTATCACAAGATCAAAACCGCTCGACTTGATGAAATAATCTTGTATCAAGTGTAAACATTAAACCGCTTGCCCCGCATCCCCTTACCACCCACCCACCCCACCCTGATTGTCGGGGTAAGCGAGATTTCAGGACTATCAAAGTCTGTTTCAAGTTGTGATAGTAACTCCAACAATAAGACCAACAGGCAGGCATTATGTAAAATAGAAATTGGTATTTCACGCGCAAGGTCCCTTTGTCACATGGAATTAAAAGGAAGGGTTGATGAAACCATCGCTGTCCTGGCATCCTAGCTGTCCCCGTTGACAGGGCTCACTCTGCCGGTCGCCAAAGTGGCAATTTGCAATAGACAAAATGAATGAGGCGATTAAAATTTGATTTTGGCGTTGATTATATCATAACCATGGGTCGGAAACGTAATTTAAGTACGAGTGGAACAGCAACGATTCTCGAATAGGAAAAACGTCCACCGTTTAATTCATTACCGTCTCAAAAGTGCTTCTGCCCATGGCATCCTAACTGTCCCCCGTCGACAAGGCTCATGCAGTCGGTTGCCAAAGTCGCAATCTGCGATAAAAAATGTGGCGATTAATATTTGAATTTGGCGATAATTTTATTATAGCCCTGTGTCGGAAACGTAATTTAAGTACGAATTCTCGAGTGGAATAAAGGTCCGACGCTTGATTCATTACCGCCAACAAAATAATCTAAAGTGAACGACGAGTCTGGTTGTAAGCATATGTCTTACAAATGAAACTGAAATTTTTATCGCTGATTCAGATCCTGATATCGCTACTGTAGCGGAAAATAAAAACTGCTCTATTGTACAAGCAAAACGTAAATTTACAGAAGACTGGAAAATTGGCAATCCTTGGATCAGATTTGACGTATCGAACATAAATAATGAAATTATATGGTGTGCGAAGAAACTAAAGTTACGAATAGTAATAAACACCAAAAATAGTAAATCATCTCAAAACTGGGTTAATCTATTATGTAAAGAAGCATTTTGTAAGTTGTTGTGTATTGTGTATCGGTAATTGTTTTATGATAGGCCCACCTGAGAAATGAAATTATCTTTTTTCCCCACACTTTTGGTAGATAACATATTGCATTCGGCGGAAAAAAAATATAAACATTTTTTTATAAAAACATTATTATCCATTTTGGCGGAAAGAAAAATTGAAAGCCAATGTGAACCCTAACCGTCGACATAGAAAATGGAAACTTAAAGATATATATATTTGTCTCAAACTGTAGTACGTAGTGTACTGATAGAGACTTTTTACAATATATATGTGATATAAAACACAAATTTATATGGAAAATAATCACTGGGTTTTCCATATAAATTTGTGTTTTATATCATATGTTCAGTTACTAAATGCCGTATAAGTATTTCAATATATATTTGTAGTTTTTAATGAAGGCATCTTAATACTGTAGTACGTAGTGTGCTGATAGAGACTTTCTACAATATCTATTTGTAGTATTTAATGAAAGCGTTTTAATACTGTAGTACGTAGTGTACTGATCAAGACTTTTTACAATATCTATTTGTAGTATTTAATGAAAGGGTTTTAATACTGTAGTAGGTACATGAATTACAGTCTATGAAATTCAACAACAATCTACGATATACTGAATATTACCTTATGAACTTCAACAACAAAATACGAAATAACCGTGTATGAAATTAAAAAAAAATCTACGATATATTGAGTATTACCTTATATGAAATTCAACAAAAAATTACGAAATAATGAGTTTTACCTTATAATATTTTTCTACAACCGCTACTCTCCGTAATTCCCTGGCCAATTCAAATGCCGTCAAAATGGGATCCTTACTGGACAGAGAAATATAAGCACCACTAGCCAAACCTTTATAGGCATTGAGTCTCGTCTTCGCCAAACGAAGTTGGTCGAATTCAAGCTTATTAGAACATTCTTGACAGTGACAATAATAATGATGAGGCTTGGGAATGGTTTCACCTCTCAATAACAATAACTGGACAATTTCAAACTGATTTCTCTCTGCCGCTAAAATTAATGGAGTTATATCCGAAGAAAATGGCGAGTCCTCGCTATTTGTGTTATAAAAGTAGTCCGTTTCACCGAATCTCTTATTCTCCTTTTTGATTTCTCGGTATTTATGGTGTTTAAGGATTGTCTCTGCGATCTGTTCATGACCTGCACTTATAGCCTGTAACAGAGCCTCGTGGATACTGGAAATATTACACCTGTCCAGAAGTAATTCACAAACCTGAAATTTAAAGAAAAATTGGCTTATAAAAACACAAAGCATAAATACATAATAATGCACTGCACGTATAATTTCCTTTTGCTTTGTTTTAAAAATCAATTACTCCTTTCCGAAATGATTACCATCAAAGGTTTCCCTTGGGATTCAATACTCCCTTGTATTTTGTATATCAAATTGGAGAATATGTTAATAAAATCAATTGGTACATTGACTGAAGTATGCGCTACCTTAAACATGATCCTGAACGGAATATTATTGCAGCTTAACGATTTCGATTAAAAATCTAGCTCACTTGAACGCGACATTTGCCGAATTTTAAACCACATAAAATGACCGAAATAAAATCTATGTGCTAAAAGCAAATCAAAGAATTGGAAATATCCACCATGTAAATCCTTCTTAATTACAAAAGAAGGCGTAATGTCGTTCAAAATGGCGCCTTCAGCTTGATATTTTTATACTTCCTATTACAAAAACTCTCCAATGATTTTAAAATGACTAGAAATAAAATCTGTGTGCTAAAAGCAAAGCACTGCATCATTGCAAATCTCCTCCATGTAAATGCTTCTCAATTACAAAAGAATGTGTAATGTCGTTCAAAATGGCAGCGCCTTCGGCTTCGTATTCTATACTTCCTATAACAAAACCTCTCCAATGATTTTAATAAATATCCCCAGAAAGTTTGACAGTTGGTAACCCGAGACCGTACTCTTGACAATTAATGGCAAATCCTAGGGTGCTTATAGCCATTAGAAATGACAAAAGACAACCCTCGCCATGATGAAACGACCTCTTCTATATGTCAGTATTTAATAAATCATAATAAATGAAAGAAAGTAAAATATTTATTAAAAGAATATTAGAATCTATATTTTCAAATTTTACCCCCCCCCCCTTCTGCTGATATATAGCATATTTCACCAATTCTTGAGGAATGGAAATGCGACATAATGCGAAAATTCTGGGCTTTTTAAATCTGAAAGTTTCGGCGATTATCAAAAACGTGGACTTGTTTGTTTCCTAAACGTCTCTTGAGATCGCAGTGCATCTTAACAGTGTGGTGTTTGTCTTGTCCAAGGCTGATCCCGATCACAACGAGCTTTGTTACGATCCAATACGATCTGAAGGTATGATCATGGTTGACTAGTTAAGACCTGATAGGATCACAACGATTACTCAACAATTAAGACCACGATTTCAATCGTAGCGCGAATCGTTGTAGTGGGAACCTATCATTATCTGCAAATTTTATGAATTAGCAAATTCGATTTCAGTGTTGTTGTTTTTGTTCTGTTATTTTGAAATAAACTACGATGATACGATAGAAGCACCAGGGACTCCTATTGTTCATTGCTGCTCTGGTAGTCAGGATAAAAATCGTATTGAAAAAGTTGACAAAATGAATCAGTTGTAAGGTGACCTTCCGAAAGGCAGTTTAAAACAAGGTTACACAGTTTTACCAGCTGCTTCAACATGGAACAAAAATACACTGTGTCCTTCATGACACCCGTCACCTTCACAAAGAATCAAATTATAAAACATCCATATAAAACCAGTGATATTTTCCTCGACTGAATTCCATGTAAATACTATTTCAAGTGGATAGGGATCTATGATCTCAATGACAAACCATAATAATGCAATTTGATGATTTATTTTAAAGATAAAGAAATAAATATATAATTATCGCACTAAACGGTATTTTCATTGATCAAGTACTACTTTCAGTGACATGTCATTTACATTAAATTGATTTTATATACAAGATAAATCGTTTCATAAAAACATGGTACACGTGCTATTTTGCAAACTGCTCGAAGTCTATAAATGGAATAAATGCAACCTATTTTATAACGTCTAAGTGTATAATGATTAAGTGTATAATCCACCACGATGTAATAGTTACTCAAGTCTCCTAATGTAGAAATGGGTGTTTCCATTGTCATATACTATTCAAAAAAAGTAGGGGATATTTGATTTTGGGGGCATAATACTAAAATATGCAAATGACGACGAAAAAAGTCACTATAGAACCTAACAGAAGAAACATTTCCAGTTACATGTGACGCCCAAACGCACCAATAGCTACCGCATGGAATGCAGGTGATGCTTGGGATCATCATGGGGGTCCAACCAAAGATTTGCACGACTCTGACTTTGAATGTTACAGTCATTGTGGCATTGAATTTCAGGGTGGAAACATCAGTTTAATTGTTTTAGTGACCAGAAAACAAATTTTGATATGCGTCGGCTTACCCAAAATGAAAGGTTACGTGCCCTTGGCATGCTACAGATCGGCACAACACAGGCGGTTGTGGCGCGGACGATGAATGTTTCTCAGTCTGTCATAAGCAGGCTATGGTCCAGATACCGTGATACACAATCTGTACAGGACAGACCACGCTCAGGTCGACCAAGGGTGACAACTCAAGCCCAGGATCGATTTATCCGTACCTTGGCCTTGAGAAATCGTGTCATCATAGCAAATCAGATCAGCGCTCGTCTTCAAACAGACACTGGTGTGAGAGTGAGTGGCCAGACGATTCGGAATCGACTGCATAGGGGTCACCTTCGCGCCCGACGTCCTCGCGTGATCCCTTGTTTGAGAGATCATCACATTCAGGCAAGACGTCGTTGGTGTAGGGATCGTCAACACTGGGATAATCGACGCTGGAGCAATGTGATGTTTTCAGATGAGTCAAGGTTCACTGTTGATTTTTTGGACAGACGTAGGAGGGTGTGGCGTCGTCGAAACGAGCGCTTTCAAGACGTTAACGTCATCAGACATGATCGATTTGGGGGTGGTTCTGTTATGGTGTGGGGAGGCATCACTGTTGCTGGAAGAACGGCTTTACATGTTGTTACAGGGCGTGTTACAGGCCAGTACTACCGGGACAACATCTTGGCAGTCCATGTTGTGCCGTTCGCACGACGTCATGGCCGCCGTTTCATCTTCCAGGATAACAACGCAAGATGTCACAGGGCCAGGATCGTTACAGGTTACCTCCAACAACATAACATCACCACATTACCTTGGCCAGCACTGAGTCCCGACCTCTCCCCCATCGAGCATGTCTGGGACATGCTTGGACAGAGGTTACGTCAACGTCAACAACGTCCTGCCAATGTCCAAGAACTTGCTGCTGCGTTGCAACAGGAATGGGACAATCTGGACCAAAATGACCTTAGACGTCTCATTAGGAGTATGCCACGTCGGATCAATGCTTGTTTGGCAAACAGAGGAGGATTTACCCGTTACTGACTTGGTTGTGATGCTGTGGTAACTTTGCTGTTTGACCCCGGGTATCATTTTACCCTTATAATGGTCAGTCTGTGCCTTACTTCGTCTAACGATCATTTGGAATAAATCGATGAATGTGAACTTCATTTCATTTTGTCATTTGTTTCTTCGTCAGTTTCATTAGGTGACTTTAATAACACTTAAAAATCAAATATCCCCTACTTTTTTTGAATAGTATATATCTATTGTAGATTTAATATATACATACTTGCTTTAATAAAAAAAATTATAGTCCTGTAAATGATTGACGCGTTTTCCTTATCATTTTTTCGCTTGACTAAAAATTCAAACATAAATCACTGTGATACCATATTTACAAAACAATTTACATCCCAGATTACTCTTTCTCAGACAAATCTGTTGTAGCAATCTGTTAAGTCATGATATTATTAACTGCAAATATATATATTTTTTTTCGTATCCTTGGATTTTGTGATTTTATTTATAATTTATTCCCCTCATTTAAACTAAATCAAGTGAGAAACTAAATGTCTACATTCGTGTATGAGATTTACGAAAATATAATTTCTAAAATACAATTATGTGAAACACTGCACACACAGATCTATATTTACTTAATAGTATACGTACCTCTAAATGTTCATTACCAACTGCTAGTCTGAGCGGGGTTCGTCCTAAAATATCACTGAAGTCGACATTAAAACTAGGATTGTCCTCAAGAATTCTCTGGACCGTTGGAATATCACCAAACTCAGCTGCGTATATAAAGTCTTCTTCTAATGTCGTCAGCTATAATATAATAAAATTTTAAAAATATAAACGTTCAATAATTTGAAACTTGAATTGTCCTCAAAACTATTCTGGGCTATTGAAATATCAACAAATACGACTGTAAATAATATCTGCTTTTATAAAAAAAAAATATCATATTTTGTAAAAGTTCAATATGGTGGCTGAAAGCGTCCATTTAGATCGGCGGGTTTCTAGATACAACGCGAGAGTCGCCGTTAAGACAGAACGACGAAAAAGGCGCCGATCGGCGACTTTTTCGTCGTACTAGCTTAACGGCGACCCGCGACTTTCACAACACGAGAGTCGCCGTTAAGCCACGCGACGAAAAAGTAGCCGAAAAAATCGGCGACTTTTTCGGCGACTTTTTTGTCGCTCTGGCTTAACGGCGACTCTCGCCTCGGAAGTTTATAGTTAGTTACATGCGCAATGGCTACATTTTACACACACAGATCACCAAATATTTCTACGCAGTCACCCACCAATGTAGGGCGAAAGTTATTTTTAGTCTTTCTCTCCCTTTCTCTTTTCCCCCTTTTGCATGGCGATTTTTGGTGTAGAATCGAAGAAAGGGGTTTTAAAATACATTTTCTGCCAGGTTTTGGTGAATATTCATGATTTTGAGAGGTCGGTTAGGTTGAAATGTAGGGCCGAAAATTGCATGTTTACTTGTCTCTACTTCCAGCTTGTGTATTTCAAGTTTTTCATGGTGAACCTCATACATGCTTTTGTGTAAGAGTTTGCCACATGTTGCTCCATCTATGGCAGAAAGCGTTCTACCCAACGAAAATTTGGGAAAAAGTTAGAGTCGGTCTAAGACACGAGAATTAACATTAAATCAATGGGGAAATATTTAGTGATATAAAGACGTGTACATTTTAAATCTAATTCCAGTGTAACTAAACAGGTTTTGAAAGTACACGTGTCTGTAACACTCATAAATTTTAATTTGCCCTAGTGTCACTGAAAATGTTGATATAGCTCGACAGCCCAAAATCTCCTCCATTCTGATTTTATATACAAGAAGTAAAATGTAGCCATTGCGCATGTAACTAACTATAAACTTCCGAGGCGAGAGTCGCCGTTAAGCCAGAGCGACGAAAAAGTCGCCGAAAAAGGCGCCGATTTTTTCGGTGACTTTTTCGTCGCGTGGCTTAACGGCGACTTTCGTGTTGTGAAAGTCGCGGGTCGCCATTAAGCTAGTACGACGAAAAAGTCGCCGATCGGCGCCTTTTTCGTCGTGCTGACTTAACGGCGACTCTCGCGTTGTATCTAGAAACCCGCCGATCTAAATGGACGCTTTCAGCCACCATAGTTCAAGTCTTTGAGAGATTGTTTTTAGAAAAGGGGCGTTTAGAAAATCGAAATTAATGGCGAGTGGGTAAACGTTATAGTTTTAAACTTAATTATATGCCTCAAAAACTATTAATTACATGTGGTTAGGTCTGCTATACCAATAGCTGTAACTGAAAGTCTCAAGGAAACCAAGGTTTGGGTTTAATTAAATGAAACAACACATAATATAAATATCGAGGGGTGTCTAGGTACAGGCTTGACTTCATAATTATAGTGTATAGCTTTATGGATAACATTCATTAGGTTTATTAACTGGAGCGTTTCAATCGGGGTAATCTCGCCGTTAAACAACACTAATACAATGTTATCTATAAAGCCGTATGTAATTATATACCGATTTCAGGTAATGTCCTTTAAAGCTTTGATACTATAGCTTATATCTGAAATATTCACAAATATTTTTTAAACCCATGTTTTACAAGATCGGTGTGTGCAATTTTCAAAGATGAATGTTGAAATTCAAAGTTTGTGAAGATGTTTTCAGGTAAATAGTGATATAAGTACACTACAACGGAATGATTCGTCAAAGAACTTCCTTGCGCCACAAAAGTCATCAATTCAGATGTTTTTGATAAAAGACCGTCCGTGGCAACCCCCATCATCAATTTTGCACCAGCAGTTGTACTGGATACATAGTATCCATCTGGCGTATTTAAACATCTATTCAATCATATTTCTGGACCGCCAGGTACCACACGCAACCCATACTCAAACGAGCTTATAAACATCAGCAAACACGATTCCGATAACATTACACTCACTAGGGTTTATAATTACAAGCCCTAATCTAATAATATTATAACACCACCAAGCCCTTATCCAATAATATATTATAACACCATCAAGCCCTAATCTAATTATATTACACTCGCTCTGGTTTACAATTACAAGCCTTAATCCATAACATTATAGCACCGGCAAGCCCTACTCCAAAAAGAGTATAACACCAGCAAGCCCTAATCCATAATATTATAACACCAGCAAGTACTAATCCAATAATATTATAACACCAACAAGCCCTAATCCAATAATAGTATAACGCCAGCAAGCCCTAATCCAATAATATTATAACGCCAGTAAGCCGTAATCCAATAATAGTAAAACACCAGCAAGTCCTAATCCAATAATAGTATAACACCAGCAAGTCCTAATCCAATAATTTTCTAACGTCAGCATCAAGCCCTAATCCAATAATAGTATAACACCAGCAAGTCCTAATCCAATAATATTATAACGACAGCAATCCCTAATCCAATAATAGTATAATACCAACAAGTCCTAATCCAATAATATTATAACGCCAGCAAGTCCTTATCCAATAATAGTATAACACCAGCAAGTCCTAATTCAATAATATTATAACACCAGCGACCATAATCCAGTAATAGTATAACAACAGCAAGCCCCAATCCAATAATATTATAACACCAGCAAGCCCCCATCCAATAATATTATAACACCAGTGAGCCCTAATCCAGCAATAGATATAACACCAGCAAACCCCAATCACATAGTATTAGAATACCAGCAAGCTCTAATCCAATAATAATATTATAACGTGGTTGGGGGGGGGGGCGATATTATGACCTCGGCCTAATATTGCTTCCACACTCATGAACAAGAAATACATCATGTAATTCATAGGAAACTGATGGTGTTTTGATACAATAAAGGACACGGTCGGTGTCAGTCATTATCACATACGTAATAGAACTGGTTAAACACGTTACAATATAATTTTAATACAGAGATCATTGCTACGATAGATGTGTAACGAAGATTTCAAGAAACGGAAGTGACGCAAAATATGGAAAACAAGAGTGTTATCCTTTTATATAGCTGGCTGACTGAACTAACGATCGATAGTAGATACACGACCGAATTTCTGCTCACTGATAATTCCTTCGAAGACCATAAGTTGTTATATGAGACTATGGGAGGATATCTGACAATTCAAAAAAAATAATTGAATGTCACTAGATAAGAGAAAAATAGAAAAAAAACCGTTACTTCAGTCAGTTATATAGAAGGATAACCCTTCTTTTCCATTTTTTGCGTCACTTCCGTTTCCTAAAATCTCGTTACGCACCGCACCTGTCGTTGCAATGATTTCATTTTGCATTCACATTACCATTAGCGAAGTAGGGTGTCCGCAATTGTTTGCTTTGGGACTACGCCATTCGTGTTGAGTACATAAGCTTTTAACAAATCAGTTTTACATTTTAGGATTGCATGCTATCTTTTTATTAAATTGTAATCCAAATCAATCAATATAAAATGTATGTTCGTGCACATCTGTTGCCAAGTCCCACCGGGCAATTGTGTGAAGAGAATACAATAGTATAGATTGTATCTTGTCAATCGTAGCCTACTAAATGACTGCCAGTTTACGTTTTTCCTTTATAACGACACTATTCATCCAAATTAAATATATCACACGAGGGATTGTAGCTGTGATCCACAGTGTACTATTATCACTTAAGGGTTTGTAAGTGCAACATCAAGTTTAATAATTGTTACACTTTGCAACATTATAATTCTAGGGATCGATACAAATGTATAATTGAACACAAAATTGCAATCTCATTATAGTCATTTTGCGCACAGAGAAACTTTGTGAATACGTCTCTGCCATGAATGACCGCCATATTGAAATAAATAGTGTACTGATACATTATGCGTTTCTGACCCTTTTCATACACACAAAGACAGAATAAACAATCTCAATACATGTAAAAATGGAAGGGGGATAATTCTCGAAGTATACCTAGTGCTTTCGACTAAAATCGTCATAATGGGAATTAAAATGTCGTTCAATAAGTTTCGTGCCTGTTGTCAAGCGAAGCTTATTGTAGTCAGACAAGGTTAAACAGGCATTATGCAAGAGTTATTTCTTCATATTGGCGATCTCTCTTTAGTACTTGGATGGCCGAATGGTTAGCACGTGAGCGCTGTATCATAAGGTCTACCATTGAGTCAGCTGGTGTGGTTTCGTTCCCCCGGTTGTACGTGACAAGGAGTAGGGTCGCCTGTCCAACCTCGCAGGTTTTCTCCGAGTCCTCCGTTTTCCTCCAACTGCTAAACACCCTTACGCGCAAGCGAATTATTGAAATAAAATTGAACCATATGTTAGTCCTGAAATAACCTAATTTGTGTCGAGTGGACACAAATGTTATATAAACTATTCATTAGACATTTATTAACCAAAATCAACTCTAGATGTCATCGGATATTACCGGTTTTAAGTAGATTACAACGTTGCGATGATGATTTAATTTAAAAATGTGGAAGCGAGTCTTAGCCTTGAACAGCCAGTACGGTGGTTCAATCAATGCACGCATCTTGTCAAACCTTTAATGGCTAATATCTTCGCTTAGAATAACGTAATTTGTATGAAATATTCAATATATTCATTTTGCATTATCTATCTAACTATTATATCAAGAACGGCCAACTCTTTATCTAAATCTTATATAATGTATCTTTAAGTTTAGTATGCATGATAGTTTTACTTACTCCATTTTTCTTTAAAGCTAATTTTGATCCCTCGGCCCATATTTGAACCCCTTTAATCTTCCGGACCATTTAGTCACTTTAATAATCTCAGCGTATTCAGATATGTAATAAAACAATTGGTCAATTTAACATGATTCTACCAATGAACAGTTATTTCCTCTTACGAAAAGGCATCTTTTCCAGTAGGCATATCACTTTAAAGCTTAATTCACGTGTCATAAAAACTATCAAAACATCTGTATATATTCATGTTGCAAACTGTTAACACTCCCATTTACCGCATTTCTGACATTAGGTATCTAACCACACGTCCAAGAGATGCTCTTCTATTTAGTTCTTATCCACATCCATACTAAAACATACATATTGAAGATCGTCACACTTTTTAAAATCTTCTTGATTCACGTTTTCAAGTTTTAACTCCTGGAAAAATCATATATAAGTCACATAATTCTCCAGAATGACAACCGTGACTCATTTTTATATATATATATATATTTAGCTTAACTGTTAATAAGTCGCCAGTTTTCAATTTCACACATAAACACAGAGCTAATTATATATTATTAAATTAAGGATGACTCAGATGGTTTTGATAAAACACTCCAGACACAATATTAATAAGCATACTAACGATGGGATAACAGAAAAAAAAACAAATATCCTTTTCGTTTGATTTCAATTATTTCACACACAACTTAAACGAGTCTGTACGAAAAACTGCAAACGACTCTACCGACATCGTTGCTTCCAATGTTTTTGGTTTCAAAGTAATGGTTTACATTTACAATTTAACTAATCGATCCACTCAGTCAATAAAATGAGTGGCATGAGTCTGATATAATATAAGCATATTGTGTTGTTTATATGTACGTGAACTCATGGGACTGATTTCTCTCAGGCTGTTCTATTCACTCCCTTGTCAACATTTTATACCAATACTATTTATCTAATGGATGGATTCTAATCAGGTATGAAACACAGCTGTAAGCTTGTCTGTGTAATAATCTTTCAGTGTAAGTAGTGTATTGTTCTAGTAATATTTATATCTGTACACGCCCTAAATTATGTGTGTTTGTTTCCTGGACACTTACGTAAAAGAACAGAAATCTAATTAAAATGTACTTTATGATCAATGGAATTTTGTTTTATTTAAAGCGCATACAATTAAATATATGCGACCCATCTTTTCATGATGACACGATAGTATTGATTGTGTTAATAAGTATTTAACCTTCCTATCAACATTAATACCTATGGCAAACACGCCATTAGCTTTTCATATAATATAACAAATGTTCGTGGCTTCCGCAATTAGTAACCACACGTGCATCGCCCCCACACAATTTCAAAATTGTTAGTAATAATAAAGGGTATTAATTAAGAAAATGAAAAAAAAAAATTATATACATAATATATATTTACAAAGGGCTCGTGTTAATATTGAGTATTAATTAAAAAGTTAAAAATGTACCGCGATGCTTTGAATAATGGTAGCCTGATTTTTCTAGTTAAAATAAAAAGGCAATGCTATAATGGTCTCTATCGTCATTTTGGCGTATATACATACACATTGAGATTTTAAAACAGAGAAATTCAACACCTCGTTTGACGTCAATTTTTATTATGAATTAATACAATGACATTGTGATTCAATTTCATGGATGCAAAGTATTAATTGTGATATCACATAATGTCTATATCATTATCTCGTGCTTTGAGTGCCAATCCTGTCCTACATCTGACGATAAAGCCGAGAAACCTTTCTCATAAAAATTGTTGATTTACAACAAAAAATATGTAGCTGAGCAGGGGGGGGGGGGTGGACCCCCCAAACCCCCCTCTGGATCCGCCCCTGTTTCATAACTCTCTATCAGATAGAATCAAAGTTATCTTGTCCCAAATCATCGACCAATGAAATTGCTTAGCTCTGGTTAGCTTTAGCTCGAAATGTTAATCATTGAACTCAGTTATGAACATCTACATCAAGTTTAAACATTTCTACCTCAATTAAAAGCAAAGTTGTTATGTTCCAAAGTCTTGACCAATCAAATTGCTTATCACTCCTTACCCTAAGCAGAAAATTCTCATCATCGAACTTCAAGGTAATGATATAATGAATCTATGCTTGGGCCTCGGAGTTTCATCACTCTCACTTAATTATAACCAAAGTTATCGTGCCCCAAAGCATCAACCAATCAGATTGCTTTTCTCTGCTTACCTTAAGCATACAATGTTTATCATCAATCTCCATCAAGGCATTAACCTAATGAACACCTACAACAAGTTTGAAAATTCTACCCTAATTAGAAGGATAGTTATTGTGTTCCAAAGTCTCGACCAATCAAATTGCTTATCGCTCTGCTTACCCTGAGCAGAAACTGCTCATTATTGAACTTAGTCAAGTTTCATCACTCTCACTTAATTAGAACTAAAATTATCGTGTCCCAAAGCATCAATCAATCAAATTGCTTATCTCTGCTTACCCTAAGCATAAAATGCTCATCTTCGAACTCCATCAAAGCATTGTCCTAATAAACACCTACACCAAGTTTGAACATTCTAGTTCATTAATCTATAGCGCATTTAACGTATCGAAATGACCAGCATATTCTTTCTATATTTTTGGTTATGAAGTTAGAATCAATGATATGAAAGATAACGATATTGTTTCAGCCATCATATTTCTCCATTCCTTGTCTTAGACCCTATGTCCTGTTATTGTCACAATATTTCATAAACAATTTAATTTGCGTTTCAGAATAAACTTATACCACAGCTAATATTTTGGCAATGGAGAATAATTAATCAAGACCATAATATTATTTTACCTATGCGTTCTTTAGCACAAATCCCTGCCATCCATATTACTACACATGGACCATATCTTGAAATAAAATGGGTGTGTTGTGCCCGCGAAATGGGGACGACTAGGGTTTTTACCTCATCGTACAGGCCGGTAAAAAGCAACTGATTTTATACTAAAATCCTGAACGACGCATTGTAAAACGAATAATATAGAAACTAACATTTCCTTTTTTATCATACTAAGTATTTCATATAACTTTGTGCTGGACTACTGTATTTGATTTTCATATCCCCAATATAGAAAACCGAACAGAGAAAATCAATACAAGAACCCCCCCGCCCTCCCGCAAAAAATCCCATCAACATGTTCCTTTTATCCTTGACCTTACGAACCTGAAAGCAACATGAATTCTACAGGAATTAACTTACAGATTTCGCGGATTTATCTCCTAGATTAAATCTAGATGCTGTTCTTTTATCGCGGGTAGATCTTGGAGGCATGGTACCATCTGTCGGCTGCTCATTGTGTCGAACTGAAATTACATATCAATAAAACATGTTAAAACTTCATTAAACAAACATATGCTATAGAATATGGTCTGGCTTAACATCGCCCCGAGGTTTAAATTGAGCAACCGCTTAGTTCTCTGTGCAGAACCACAAGCAAAATAAATTTGAACACTGCGTTTGCGTAAAATGGCCATCAAGTATCTAACCTTTATGATATTTTAATCACAGTTGCATCAGAATATGGCGCATCAATCGGTAGATCCCAATGCATTATCTGGGTTTCTTTTTGGTTCATTTTGCCCATAACTTTAAATTCCAAACTCTAAGCGAACCGCTGAATAAAATATCTGAAAAGGACTCGCTATTCACTTACATTTTCATTACGGTCAACTATTGGGCAAGTTTCTTTCTTCAAATACATAGCAATATTAGTTACTTTTATTAACTGTGTTAAATCTACAATGACAGGATACAGGTCAAACCCCTTTTAAACGTTTTGATTTCATTTAAAGTAGCTAAGTCTCTAACTCAATATCATCCAAAACCTTCGACAATGAAAACACTAATTTTTTGTCAATTTTAATCAACATTGGTGTTGTGATCTTACCGGAAAAAGGTGGGCTTCTGATATCCAATATTTAAGAAAAAATAAACATTTTACGATTGGTACACGAATCGTGTACCATAATGCGTTTAAGCGCAATTTGTAACAAGCTACTCGAAGAACGAGGTTAGACATATTCCACAAGTCATGTCAAACGGTGACCCCATATTCTTATCTGGAGAACATGCGCAATAAATACTATCGGTGTAAACTGGAATAACCAGACGCTAGAGATTGCCATTGGATTGAGACTCCTGGGGTATTTCGCCGAACATAACTGCTTTGAAATTAGAGTAAAAACGGAAACGATTGAATGTAAATCAGTTTATTTACATTCATATTACATTATTATATACGTTGCGACCCATTTGTGTCAATGTGTCGGTCCCAAATATTAGCGATTTAGCTCCTTTAATAATGTATTGTTCAAACTTTCCGAATCCATTAGCTGATAGTGTCTGTTGAAATTATCACAAACCAGACCATTGAATATAGTCGCTATTTGATATGTATGTATTTGCGTGACTATACAATGTTAGCCATATAGAGCACTATTTAGCTCAATCATAAAGCGAATCAGATGTCCTCGAGATCACGTACATTCAATAAAATATTATTTAAAACTAATTTCTAAAGTGAAAATGAAACAGATAAAAGACAAAACGTCAACAGATTTTTACCAAAACATAGATTTTATTTTAAAAATAAAATTACAAGTTTCCTGACGTCACAAAATGCTTTTAATGGTTAATATGACAAACGTTCCAATATTATTACCCCCTAGAACTAGAAGGGGATAATAATATCGAAATAAATTCGCCTATAAGGAAGTAAACGGCAATTCGCGATTTCAGACAAAATTTCCCTTGGAAGCATTGACATTAAGTAGGGGGAGAAACCCAGGGGGTTAGACATGTGCTTTGTTACGTTAAAGCATGGGATCGAAACCACAACCCTTGTCTCAACGGGAGAACTTAATGTTTAAAGCGGTTCTCGGATATGATTTATTACACCATAACATCAACCGCTATATGACATATATACAGCGACATATCCGATTATACCATGTATGGGTATCTGCCAGAAACAGAAACACATGCCCGCAAGCAACTAATTAGTGTTGAACGCTCTAAAGTTTAGAAAATAATTTAAGTTATTCTTTCAAAGCTTAACACCAATTTGATATTAGATCCAAAACTTATAAGGTTTCAGGGGAAGTTGCAGCAACAAAGTCAAATATGCGAATAATTCATACACTAGCAGTAAAATAAATAAAATAGGATAGGCACTTCTAAATACCAACACACGTAACTAATATTGTAACTGAAATAGCTTATAGCTATTAATATATATATATATATATATATATATATATATATATATATATATATAGCAAAGTGGTTTAATATAGGCTAGGCCTGTCCACCAATCCTTATTCAGATACAAAACTGAATAAAAAGACTGTTTATATAAAAAAAACTGTATGATTATGGTACTTCTAAACATATCCAAGCAATACCAAATCAAAGTAAAACTAGTCTTGTAAAACCTAAGTCAGCACTTTAGTATATAATGATTAAATCTAGACTGTGCACTTTCGGAATGTCTATTACACCATTATTTTCTTTTTCGCAAAAATCATCTGTGCATAGTAATAATTTTATAAATTATTCCAACACTTAAAACCGATTAACAACTTTTATAAGTCTGGACTGCGAATTTGTCAAAATGATCCGAGTGTATAATTTGCCTAACGACAGTACAGAAAATATCATTTAACGTGATTTGGCCTTGTCTAGAAATATTCTATGAAAGGTCAGCAACTTATAATACAAAATGACCTAACCTTAACTAGGGGTCACTCTTACGATAATAAGGTTAGTAAAGAAAGGATGCGTTCTATCCATTTATCAGTGTATTGATTGGGTTTAGAAGTAATCTGAAGCAAGACGAATCCCTGACAAAAACGACAATCTCTTCTACCACTCAATCTGTATTTACCAAATCCCAGAAATTAGATCAACTCTGCTTCTTTCTTTGTCAGTCAAATCTTAAATCTGACAGAATTTTAATCAATCTTACTAAAAATAACCAAACTTGAAGCATTCGAGAAAAAATGAGTTTCAGTCTAGATTTGGTTCTATTGAGATTGAGTATGGTTGACCGTGTCTTAAATCGTGTAGAGGGTTACTTAAGTTTGTATTCACGTATTCAGACGTTTCTTGGCTTCCTTTAACGCATCCGTACATGCAATTGGCATTTAGCAGTTGATGTTGACATGAATCTAAAATACATCGAATTTAGCTTCCGCCAATTTAAAAATAAACATTTAGCTGTTGGCATATATTTAAATGTAGTGAATGGGGGTGTATAATCTGGAATGTTGACTGAAAATCAATGACTGGTGAAATAAATTTTAAAAGGGTTGTGATAGAACATTTGCCTGATGAATGATTTAAAGTACAAAAACCATCTCCGTTTCTAAATCAAATTCGGTCTTTTGAAGAGTCTATTGCCCGAAAAGAATCCAAATTAAAATTACACAAGGATAAAACGAACGTAAAAATGAGTGACTTTAAAACTACTGTCCTCTCTAAAACATTTCCTTCAAAATAAGGCCAAAAAACCCCACAATATTGTTATATATGTCCAGTTCCAGGTGTAAACGAAAAAGAAGCATTATATTTCGTCTTTCTCGGGAGAATACTGCCAGAAATTAATCCAAATTAAACGGTCATATCGTAACATCATGGTAATTAATAGGGTGCTTATAGCAACTTAAAGGTCTATATTATTTGATTGTGAAATTAAATTATAAAACTGTAGAAGGGTCACACACTAAGCATAATTAGTTACTTTCTCTTTTAGCTTAAAATCAATTCTTTTTGCTTCAAAAAATCATTGATGTCAATATCGTATCATATTTGTTTTAGAAGTATTCTCTTTTGTTAACTTAAAGATCATATTATACAGGAAATATGGTATACAAAAATAAATTTGAAGCCCTTTGTACATATTATCATTTTCATGTTTGAGATATTAATGGAATCTACATCACGATTACTTTGATAATAACTCATTTGATTTTTGACAAATATATCTATTTCTAGTCTGTATATATAAATGTATGGATCTTGGGTATTATATTATATTTAGTACGTAATTTGTGTAGACCGTTTGATAGAAAATTGTACTTAGTTATCTGATCCCTACTGTATAATCTTAGCGTTTAAAGTTAAGTCTTCAATTCTTTGGGCGCCATATTAGATGAGGATGAATTTTGTGGACCAGAAAATGACCATTTGCCCTAAAAATTGAGCGAAGTTTAGTTAATAATTTGTTATGTTTGTGATTAGCTGTTCAACAGTGCTGAAAATACTTGAGCTATTTTGAGGGAAGAGGAGAAAACAGCTAACCCACTGCCACTTTCCTGTAGATCCGCCCTTGCTGATCGTGGTAAATCGTCAGTGTAAATTGTAATTAGGCCACAGACCACTGTAAAGACCCCCCCCCCCACACACACACACACATTTCCTGGTGTCGTGGTTTGTTTCGCTACCTTGTTTGGGTCTGTATCTCACTTTCTAAAAATAAGGGACTATACCCACACTTTAGTCAGCTAGCACTTATTTTGTTTTATAGAGGAAATAGGTTCAAAGTATTATTGTATATCAAGTGTCATATTAATGTTATCATACTATTAATTTTTGTGTATATTAGTATTAGTACATGATTTTATACTACACAGAAAATATATCCAATCCTTTTACATTCCTTTCTTGAATTATAGTAGCTGAACCGTTGGTTGTAACCCGGGCAACACTCACACACATTGTTTACTGTGTAATAAAATTTTTAAACCGTACACTGAACATATAGTAGGCTTTTAGTAATTCTACATGATGTACTCTATGGTACTTAATGGGGCTAATATTAATAAGTAGAAAAGAAAGCAATATAAATAAATAATAACTACAAAAACATATCAAAAGTTGATACTTAGTATAAACAGTAACGGTTGCTAAAAAATACTCCAGTATAGGACAACAAGCAATGGGATCGATTATAAAACAGATCTCATATGAAGACAGGGAACAAAACAGATATAGAATCTCAAAGACAAAGAATCGTGCAGCGTCATTTGTTTTGGCTTGCCTTACGGGTGGTGCTACCACAGTATAAATTGCCACTGTGGGCTATCAACCCTATACACGTTTTGGTGCATTTGTTAAGTTTGAAAACAGATTATTTGAAATACGATTCCGGTCTGGTCTAATCTAATATCTGTTATTGGACATGTATTTGGGTTCTTAATATACCAACACCGAGGGCCATAGACTTGGCTAATAGACAGCCTAACGGGTCAATACGCTAATGGTTTATTGGGCCATTTGGTATTGGGTCAACTGATTGATTAGA